TAGAAATAATTTAAAATTTCACTAAAAAAATTGAGCGTAGTAAAGCGTATTCATGAACTGAAAATGGTTTTTAATAAACATAGATAATACGCTATTTTTTGTAATAAATGCGTTTCAATATTGTATTCATAAAGTGTGCAGTCGGGGAAAAAAAGAGTTTACGCATAAATTCTGAACTGTTGGTTGGATTTTCATTCTGTAAAGTGCACGCTTACTGTTTACTGTTCTCACTTTTTAACAATCGTATTTTATTTTACTTAACCTTTTGACGCAAAATTTTTGTTATATATATTTTTCAGATTTTTTTTCAGTATGTTGCATTAATTTAGGTCTAAATAAGGGGGAAATATTACATGTAGCCTTTTAATAATGTATAGCTATGAAATACAGCACGGAACACCGGTGTCTTTTTCTGCGTTAAAGGTAAAACCTTCCAAATACGGCTCACTTTCAAACCATAATTTTTCAAAATTGCACTTATTTAGGTTTAAGAGAAACTGTTATTCATTATTGAAATTTCTTTAATTTTACAAAATCTATTATTTATAAATTTTTGAATATTAATTTTAAAAAAACATTCAACTACTTTTTTTTGGATTTTATATTTTAGTACAAATACAATTCCGATAGTGTAACAGATTTGCTTTTGTATCTATTAGACTGTTTTTTATAATTAAAGAAAACCAATATATATATTTTTGTTTGTAATTAGAGCGTCAGAAAAAAAGTATATAAAAAAGGGACACCGGTGTCCTATTTGCGTCAAAGGGTTAATGCTTAAGGCACAAATTTTGGATTTTTTGATACCCCTTAAGAACTTCAAGCCATGAGTCTGTGCCTGATAGGCCCAGACCTAAAAACTGCTCTACTATGGTAAAAGGTTCCAAAAATTGGAAAAGAAAGAAAATTGAAAAAAAATAAGGAAGAAGAAAAATAAATTAGTTTCTTTCTCTTAGTAAAATATATTAAAAATATATTTAAAGAGATAAAAATATATGATTATTAATCATTTAAATTTAGATAAGCTTTGAAGCTGATTATTTTAAAGAAATCAAAATTCGGAATAAATCGAAAGACTAAAAATGTTTCAACAATTTATCTGTTTTGATATTCAGCTTAATTTTTTTTTTTTAAATTTTTGATTTGAAAGAAAGCAATTCTGAATAGGATGAGACTTTTCTTTTAATCCCTCATTCTCACCAAGCGTTTACTGCAGCTTAACTCATTCTGGCTCTTGTTCACGTGACTCGGAAAGAGGGGAGTTCGTGTAAGTTGGCGATTATGTGGAATTGCGAAGCGGCCAGGTTGTGTATATGGACCAACTGAAACGTTTCATTTCGATGTTTGTAAATGTCGGGTTAATTAGCCTAATTGACAGCAACTCTAAATAGAAAGTTTTTACCATAATTGAAGTCTCAAATTAAATCACGTGCTCATTATGAAATAAATAGAAAAACTAAAAATAGTTTCATTTCAATATTTTATTATTATCAGGATAGTAATCTGACCTGAGTAATTGTAATAATAATCTTAGTAATGAGGGGTAATTAACGTAACTGACAGCATTGCTTAATAACACGTTTTTATCAAGATAAAAGTCTCAAATTTGCAAAGTGTTCTTTATGAGAAATGAAGAATGAAAAAAAGATCCGTTTCGATATTTTGCAATTATCGGGATAATTATCCTAATTGACTGTAATATTAAATAACATGTTCCCATGAATTGACAACATGAGTGTATACCGGGTAAAAAAACAATGTGGAGCCAAGAAACGGTGAGTTTTGATGGTGAACCAGGTGTCGCCGTAGGCGGCTAGTATTTTATTAAAATGAAAATAAACTTTTTAAATTAGCAAATAATAGCACTACACCAAGCGCGTGGGGGAATGCTGTGTTATTAGCATCTCTAAGCCACGGCTTCACTGACTAAAGAATTAATTTAATTCACCCTCAATAATGATTTGTTGGATGTTGATTACGTTAACAAGTCATTCCGGTGAAGGACAGTGATTTGTTTCTGATTAACTAAAATAATTAAACAACTAAAAATGAAACTTAATTCCTACCAAGGCTCGAAATTATGTTGTCCGAGATGCCCGGGGCATGTAAAAATTTCGATTTGGCATGTAAAATTTAATCAGAAATACTATTAAATACCGACTAAACACTTTTTTAAATTTTGATAGAAATCTTCCAAGATGTGGGTTTAAAAGGAAGAAATTGAATATATTTATAGAACTTTATTGTTTCTGAATATAATTAAATAAATAAGAGCTTATAAAACAAAGTTACATTACTCTTTTTTATTTTCATAGACTTGCGTATTTTTATTTAAAAAATGTCTATCCTTACCACTGTGCATAATAAATATTAATAAATATAAATGTTGATATAGCACAGTAAAAGTAAACATAAAGCATCGTTTTTATAACTGTCTCTGAACATCTGCTTCTAATATTGAATGAAATCCCACTATTTCAGAGCAGGTGATTTTTTTGTTTTAAATTAAATTTTTNTAATTTCATGACAACTGTATTCAACATATTTTCAAAACTATTGTTTACCATGTTAAAAGCTGCATAAATACTTGAAACTTTGAAAATAATATTTTTTTTAATATAACAATTAATGTCCGATTTCCCATTGACTTGAAAAAGTATTCTATACATATGAAATTGACTGTGGGCGGGGCTATCCGACTCTCCCCTATATGCAAGAGGAAAATAAATAAATAAAAAAATAAATGAAAAAAATGAAATAAAATTTTTCAAGACAAATTTTTAGTGAATTATGCGTTGTTATACAAACTAAATGAAAAATTGTTAAAATTAAAATATTATTTGTCTCTGAAATTCTAAAATATTTTAAAATAAAAAGAATTAGTTTTATTTTATATAAATTACAAAAAAAATCTCATAATCGTTACACAACACTCTGATAATGGAGCCAGAAATTTACACTTTCCCCATAAACTTCGCAATAGTGACTAAACAGAAGAGAGACAATATTTAATTCCTCTTAATTATAATATAGAGCAGGGGTTTCCAACTTACATGAGGCCGGGGGCCGTAATTAAAAACACCAGTCAAATGGCGGGCCGCAACTTTATCAAAATTTTATATAGGACTGTTTTACGTTTGAAGGAACATTAAATATTACTGTCAGCATTTTTATCAAGTTGTACAAAACAAAAGTATTGAATTACAAATCAAAATACGAAGTAGAATTTTACCTGAGAAATAAATTTCTTTGCACCGTTGGTATGTAAAATTTCACAGAAACGAAGAAATTACGCTTTTTTTAACGAAAGAAAAGTATTTTATACCCATAAAGATTTTTTAAGAAAATTGTCCGCAAAAAAATGACTAATATATTTTAGTTCGCGGGCCACAAAAAAAGGCTTCGCTGGCCGGACGTGGCCCCCGGGTCGCCAGTTGGAAACTACTGATATAGAGTATACGAGTAGATACATGCAAATAAATAAATAAATAAATAAAAATAATTTAAAAAATAAAATAAAAAAGTTTAAGTCAAAATGATTTATTTAGTAATTTATGCGTTGTTATATATACTAAAGAAATTTTTTTTTAAATTGAAATATTATTTGTCTTTGAAATTCTAAAATGTTTTAAAATGAAAAGAATCAGTTTCTTTTTTTATATATAAATTGTGAAAAAAGCTAGCATTACGATATTTTATCAATTTAGGTATGTTTAGATACAATTTGAACGCATTTTCATGTTCTACATTTTTATGAATGATAAGAATTCAAGAGAAAATTGAAAATTTCTGACTCAATTTTCTTAGAATTGTGATAATAGTTTTAAATGCATTTAAAATTTCTAAAAAAAATAATCATGACGAAAAACCCCATATTATTTATCCCACAAAATATTATTATAATCCCATAAAATATTATTTATAGGAATCATTTTTTTTATAAATTATGGAAAAACACTAGTATCACTAAAAAGAAAAATCTCATAATTGTTACGCAACACTCTGATAATTGTGCCAGAAAAAAAATTATACTTTCCCCCTGAACTTCGCAATAGTGACTAAACTCAAAAGACGATGTTTAGCTCCTCTTAATTCATAACATCGAGTATATTGATATATACATACAAAATGAAAATAAATAAATAAATAAGTAAAATAAAATAAAAATTGAAAAAATAAAATAAAATTTTTTAAGTCAAATTGATTTTTTTAGTCATTCATGCGTTGTTATAATAAACTAAAGGAAAAATCGTTAAAATTAAAATATTATTTGTCTCTTTAAAATTCTAAAATATTTTGAAAAAAAAAAGAATAATTTGTTTAGAAATAAATTATAGAAAAAAACTAATATCGCGACGAAGAAAAATCTCATAACACTCTCACGCAGCACTCTGATAATGACGCTAGTAAAAGATTAACTCTTTCCCTATAAACTTTGGAATAGTGACCTAACTCAAGAGAGACGATGCTTGGTTCCCTATAATTCATGATATCGAGTATATGCATAAATACACACAAAATAAAAATAAATAACTAAAAAATAATTTAAAAAAATAAAATAAAAATTTTCAAGTCAAATTGATATTCTTAGTGATTAATTCCATGCTATATAAAATAAATGAAAAATCGTTAAAATTAAAATATTTAGTTTTGAAATTCTAAAATGCTTTAAAATATAAAGAATCAGTTTTTTATAAATTATACAAAAAACTACTATCGCGATATTTTAATTACTTAAGGCATATTTAGATGCATTTTGAACGTATTTTCATGTTCTATAGTGTTTCATCTTCTATATTTTTTAACGACAAGAATTCTATGAGCATCAAACCTCCAGCAATGCATGATCTAAAATGCATCAGAATCAATTTGTTTATTTACATCGGATGCACGTTGGCGAATTTTTGCCCACCCAGCAGATGAAAACAAGCAGTGTGGGTGCACCCCGTTGGAACGTCGAATCCCATAAGCAAGACCCTTTTTTTTAGGTTTTTGTTATTCGCCAAAAAACGGCAACCCTAACATTCTCATGTGGTTCTAAGGGAGCGTCGCTTCCACAAACGCTTTCAGATTTTCCTAAAATAATGAAGATTTGACAATGGCTAACAACACCGAAAATGACAAGAAAGAGGTTTCAGAAGTTGTTAATAATCGACTTTCCGTCGAATCGAAAGAATCTTCCTATATGGGATTCGACAGAGGTATTGACTCAGATATAGAGATAGAACCTCGAAATGAGGAACACCCCACTGCAAGATGCTCAAGTGAACCACACCTTAAGAAGCGTCTGCCGCTCACGCCAAAACTCGCGAGGTGAGTTGTTTTTAATTCCAATCTATTTTGACAGTTCATGCCTGGCGACTATTTAGTATTGTTTCCCAATAATTAATTATCTTTGTATTAATATTGCGCGCTGTCATTATGTAAAAAATAATAATCATTTCTTTTTTTGAAAGTTGTTAAATATTAAATTAGAAAGTTTTAAATTGTTCTTTCCCAAAGAGAGTTTCTTTAATGGAGTCTAAAGAATGAGGAACAAAATCGTTTGAATTTCGAATAGAAACTTTACATGTCTAGTTTTTAATAAATAGCTTTGAATACGAAGAAAATATTCTTGATATTATTAAATATTTAGTTAGGGAAATTCGAAATTTTGTTTTCTCAAAGAAAATTTAGTAGATGGAGTATTGAAGAAAGAGAAACGGAATATTTGGAAAAACATAATGGAATTATTTGTATAAAAAATTTAGGTGCCTTATCCCTTCATCAAATAGTTTTCAATACAAAGAAATTACTTTCAAAATTATTAAACACTTAGTTAAGGAAATTCAAATTTTTTTAAAAATTCCTCTCTATTTTGACAGTTTATGCACGCCGACTATAGTTTTCAATATTAATTATCTTTGTACTGATATTGTGTATGTGTGTTAGCAATGTGTGAAAAATATCAAGCCTTTCTTTTGTATGTGTGTTAGCAATGTGTGAAAAATATCAAGCCTTTCTTTTTCCAAAAGTTTTAAATTCTACTTTCTCAAAGAGAGTTTCTTTAATGGAAAATGAGGAACTAAAACCAAAATTGTTTGAATTTCAAATAAAAATTTAACTTCCCTGGTTTTTAGTGAATAGTTTCGAAAACGAAGAAAATAATCTTAATATTGTTAAATAGTTAGTCAGGGAAATTCAAAATTTTGATTTCTCAAAGGAAATTTAGTAAATGGAGTATGAATAATGAGGAACGGAATGTTAACAAAATGGATTATTTGAATAAAAAAAGTTTAGGAGCCTTATCTTTTCACCAAATAGTTTTGAATATGAAGTAACTATTTTCAAAATTATTGACTAAATATTTAGTTCTATAAATGTAAAATTTTACTTTCTCAAAGAAAATTTAGAAGATGGAGTCTGAATAATGAGGAATGCTTGTAAAAACATAATGGAATTGTTTGAATTTTAAATAAAAATGTTAGGTTCCTCATCTTTTAATAAAACTGTTTGGAATATGAAGAAATTATTTTCAAAATTATTCAATATTTAGTTTTAGAAATTTAAAATTTTATTTTCTCAAAAAATAAATAAATAAATAAAAATGGTAGATGGGCTCTTCATAATGAGGAACGTTTGTGGAATGGAATTATGGATATTTAAATAATGGAATGGAATTATTTAAATTTCAAATAAAAATTTTAGGCGCCTCATCCTTTCTTCAATTAGTTTTGAATACGAAGAAATTACTTTTTAAATTATTAAATATTTAGTTAAAAAAATAAAAAATTTTACTTTCTTGAAGAAAATTTAGCAGATGGAGCCTGAATAAAAGCAAACAATATGTTTATGAAAACGTAATGGAATGGTTGGAATTTAAAAAAAAAAAAAATTTAGGTGCCTCATCTTTTCATCAAATAGCTTTGAAAAAGGAATATTTTATAGATAAAATTTAGAATGACGATGCTTTTTTTATAATCTCAAAAGTTGCAGTAATTTTATACGAAGTTAAATTAAAGTGTTATTTCATTTTGAAATGTGAAAAGGGTGTTCCATTCCATGGAAAACTTTTTTTAAATGATTGAAAAGGTTAAATTAAAATTTTTATTTATAAAAAATTTAACACCTAAAATTTTCATAGTTACATATTCCCAAAACATAAATGACGAGCCAAAATACTAATACACTAACAATAATACATTTGAATACGAAATCTTTTTTTATATAAATTTCAGAATGAAACAAAATATAAAAAAATCATTTTTATAAGAGCGTCAGTTGTCCAGAGGATAAAGCGCATGCCACCAAGGTTCGAATCCCAACGATCGCTAGTCGTTACTAGTTAGGTTGTCGGCTTTCACCAACCATAGTGCTGACGTAAAATATCCACAGAGATAGACAGATTATAGTTTAGAATCCCCTTGTCTTCGGGCTGCCAATGGGAGGTTTTCCTCTCTACGTAACGCAATTTCGGGTTTGATCTACTAAAAAAAATTCTCCACAAAGGCAAAGTTGTCCCACTGCTAGATTTAGGTTCACCCTTGTCTTCTGGGTTGAGTTTAAAATTACAAGGCTGCCTAGTAGAACATCGATATTTTTAAACACAAAATTGCGCCGGCTGTTCTACACCGGTTATTTAATAAAATAATTTCCTTTTTTATTCCTTCAACTCGAACGATGCATTAATTTTACACGAAGGTCAGGTTGTATTGTATAAAAATGTAAAATTGAAATTTCCATCTTAATGTGTGAAAAAGACGTTTCATCAACAAAAAAAATAAATATTGAATTTGATTGAATTTTTTTTAATGGGAATTTTATTTTTTAGAAATATAATTTTAAAACACATAAGATTTGTTACATTTTCTCAAAAAATAAATTGTGCCGCTAAAATACTTGCATTTTGATATTAATCTGAATTCTTTCGTAGCTAAATTTTTGAGTGGTGCAAAAATATTTTCTACTTAATTTTTTATAAGATTTTAATAATTGTAAGGATAAAACGGAAAGGATTGAATTTGAATTTGGATTGCATTGAATAACAGAAAGGATTGAATTTTGATTATAAAGTTTAAATCCTTTCACTTTTTTAACTAATGGTTTTGTCTTTCGTAGATATGTTTTAGAATGATGATGCAAAATTTCTTTTTTTTTTCCGTTCTTAAAAAAGTCTTATAGAACTAACGTGACATGAAAATTGCATTGAATGAAAATGCAATTTCTATCTTAAAGTGTGAAATGGATGTTTCATTAGAAGAAAAACATATTTTTTTAATTTGAATTAAGTCAATAAGCAAAAACAAATTTTTAAAATATTATTTTTCCTAAATTTTGAAAAAAGGAGGGAAAAAAACTGTTTTTTATTATTCTTATAACCCTTTTACCTGAAAATAAGTAATGTGTTTTCCACCTATTTCCCAATCACTTCACCTTTAGATTTTTAAAATATTAATCACCTTTTTCCAGGTGATGATTAAAATATTATTCAAATTTTATTTTTGCTCGAAATTAATTGTTAAGTTCAGGACCCGATAAAGAGAAGCTGAGCATGGGACTGATTTAAGGGCCCCAAAATTTTCATAAAGTGTAAATTGTTTTTATTTAATAAAAATTTCACAAATTTACACTGGTGTGTGCAGTACAGTTTGTAGTACTCGATATATATAT